CACTCATTACACATCCCCCCCAGACACCACACACACACACACACACACATATACCAGCACACCATATACACATATCCCCCCACAGACACCACACACATATCACACACACACACACACACCACATACCATACACAGACACCACTCACTCATTACACACATCGCCCCCAGACACCACACATACACACACATACAACACACACACAACACACACATATCACGCACCATGGCATGCCACACACACTACACACAAAATCAGACACCATACACATATCACACACAAACACATACCATACACACATCACACACAGACACCACACTATTCACACACACACCAAACCATCCCACAACACACTACATACATCATAGACACAAACACACCACAGACACATCACACACATTCCCCCACCCATGCACCACACACACACACACACACACACCACATTTCTCCCATATACACCACACACAGCACACACAGCACACATACTGCATATATCACACACAGCACACACTACACACACCACACATCACACATATACACACACACATCTCTGGGTGCCCCCCCGCGGCTCCTCATATCCCTGCCTACCCGAGAGTGACAGTGGGCCCCGGGCGCTCCATGCGGTTGAGCGGGTGGCATGGCGTGAGGACCCCAGGTGCCTGCTGCAGGCCCCTGCGCAGTGAAGCCAGGCTGGATCCACTTGCATTTTCAAAGCTTTAAATAGAATCAAATAGCTTGGTGCAACGGGATCAGTGAAGGGCATAGGCCGAGCAGTGTGAGCCAAGCAACTGTCACCCAAGAGCACCAGAGATGAGCTGATGGAGCAGGGGTGCTCGGTGCCCAGTGCTCAGGGACCCCACCCAGCGATGCTCAGGGAGGGGACCCTGGAGGGCTGTGTTCAGGGCAAGCGCCTCCCCCACTGTCTGCCCTGCTTTCTCTTTTGCTATTACTATATATATATAGTGATATATATATAGTTATATATATATATTTTAAGAATAAAAGTATTTGTTTAAAGTTGGGAGGGAGGGGCCATAGACACGTGTGCCCTTGTATTTGACTAATGCGTCACTGGAAGTGGGAAATTGTAGCCGGTTGCTTGGTCTTGTCAGGCTGAGAAGTGGGATGCAGCTACTCCAGAGTGTTGATTAAACACCTCCTCTCCGCAGCATGGAGTGTTTGGAGGCGCTATTCAACCCCATTGGGTCACTTAGAAGCAATTCTCGAACACACACTATGGGGTCAGGTAACTGCTAGATGTGGGGAGGAATAAACACAGCCGATGGAGACACATTTCTTATCTTTCTGGAGCTGGAATCTGGCCAGATCCATTTCACTTGAAGAGCTAAAAAATGGGGAACCACAAATGCAGGAAGAAAATGCCATCAAAACAAAATGAAGAGGGACTGGAGCGATAGCACAGTGGGGAGGGCGTTTGCCTTGCACACAGCCGACCCAGGTTTGATTCCCAGCATCCCATAGGGTCCCCTGAGCACCGCCAGGAGTAATTCCTGAGTGCAGAGCCAGGAGTAACCCCTGAGCATCGCCGGGTGTGACCCCAAAAAGCAAAAAACAAAAACAAAAACAAAAACAAAACCACCCCCTCCAAATACCCCCCAAAATGAAGAGTTGGAGAGATATGACAGACTAGGATATATGTCCTGCATGAGGCCAACCCAAGGTCTACCTGGCATCACATACGACCCCCCCTGACAAGCGCAAGGAGTGTTCCCGAGCACAGAGCCAATAACTTGCCACGAACACCGGATTTTGTTGTCACCCCCAAACAAACAAGCAAACAATAATAAAACACCCCACAGACATAATGGGGGAGGGTTTGTTGGAGAGACAGATTGCATGGCCAAGCCTGCGACCAGCCAGCCAGAACCTCCGGGAACAGAGGTGCCCAGCCCTGGGAACTGCTGATGCCACAGGGCCCAAGTTGGCAGAATGCTGAATTCTCCCCTCATTTCTGTGCTCAGCATGGAACTGAATCACATCCTAACAGGGGAACAGATGTCTGGCATATTTCTTTAAGAAGCATGTCCAGTGTTCAGTTAAAACAAAAAAAAAAGGCTTCTGAACCCTTCAAGCCATGTTAGTGGACACTAGAACTCACAGTGGCTTTCAAATAGGTCCCACAGTGAGGGTTAGGAAGACACCGAGTCTGATACTATCGTTAGCCATTGATCATTTAGTTGTGGTCTTCTAATGGCTCAGCAGCTGTGGACAGGAAGGCCTGTGAAAATCATTTAAATTGAAAAATTGAACAAACAAAAGAAACAAATCTAATGGGTGGAACATCCCAGACATAGAAAGAGAAGCCCCGGGCACCGTGAGTTCAAGGGGACACTTGAGTGACCATGGGATCTGCCCACCACTAGCCGGGGACAGAGTCAGGAGCACAGGTACTACTGGGGGCACACGCATGAGGCGGATACTTCCTGGATACCAGTGGTCAAGGAACGCAAACCAACTAGAGGGGGAAGATAGGCACAGGTGGACCCATCAGGCACGGCCCCTCCTGGAGACCTCTGTGATGGTTCTGATCACGTGACCACAGAGAACGAGAGGGTTGCAGGCACCTCTTCACATCCCTGGGGCAAGACAGCGAGCCCACGGGTATATGTCCTGCTACCCTCACACCCCCCCAACCCCCGCCGGCTGTCCAGCCACAGGGAGCAGTGGCATTTTCCCACTTGTTATTCTGCATTTGTCTCGAAAATAGATGCCAACAACCAGAAACACTTGCAATAAACAAACCTACCAAGAACAATTCGTCTTTCTGCCCGAGGAGGTAGACATGGTGAAAATAAATGAAGCCATCATTCTTTACAGGGGGCTGGCACGAATCTCTAGTCTGCTGGGAAGATCAGCTGCTGGCTACACCAAGCCTAGTTTAGGCATTTCTATGCATTTATAAGGCTCATTTGCTCTGGGTCTCCTGCCTTCAAATCCAAGGGAGTCACGGCCATTTAAAGGCAAAGACATGGAATCCGCATAGTGGACAGGAGGACCGGGTGGCAGACAGAAGGCTGCGTTGCTGATTGGCCAGGCTTGGAGGGAAGGCTCAGGCAGGGATGCCAGGAAGGAAAAGAAAAGCTGCTTCTCCTGCACACTCCTCCAGAATCTGTGCTCCCCGGAACATGTGTCTCTCTTCTTGATTCCTTGGCTTGCTTATCTCCACTTTGGAGAAGCCTTTATTCCCTCGTGAACACCTCTCTCTCTCTCTCTCTCTCTCTCTCTCTCTCTCTCTCTCTCTCTCTCTCCACAAACGAAAGAAAGGAAGGAAAGAAAAGCTCTGATTCTTCTGGGAGTCACGGCCATGGACTGCCATGGCTGGATTTAGCTGAAAGATGTGTTTTAATGACTTGCTTTGCCACGAGTTGTACCCGCCCATCAAAAAATGATGCTTTCACATACAACCACAACCTCTGGCTTCTCTCAGCAGTTTCTTTCATACCAACTCCCCGAGCAGGGAGCTTGCTGTTGTCCGACTCCCCAAGACAGTCTGACCTCTTCCACTACCGACGTGTCCATTTCTCCTGGACCCTGGACCCCGACCTTCTGTCCATGGACCCTGGACCTGGACCCCAACCTTCTGTCCATGGACCCTGGACCTGGACCCCGACCTTCTGTCCATGGACCCTGGACCCCGGCTTCCTGTCCATGGACCCTGGACCCCGACTTCCCGTCCATGGAACCTGGACCCTGACTTCCCGTCCATGGAACCTGGACCTGACCTCCTGTCCATAGATCCGGCTCCCTGACTTCCTATCCAAGGACCTTGGACCCCGACTTCCTGTACATGGGTTCTGTTCCCTGACTTCCTATCCATGGATCCTGCTCCCTGACCTCCTTTCCATGGGCCCTACTCCCTGACTTCCTGTCCATGAACCTTGGACCCCGGACCCTGACTTCCTGTCTATGAACCCTGGACCCTGACTTCCTGTCCATGGACCCTGGACCCTGGACCCTGACTTCCTGTCTATGGACCCTGGACCCTGACTTCCTGTCCATGGACCCTGGACTCCGACTTCCTGTCCATGGACTCTGGACACTGGATCCTAACTTCCTGTCCAAGGACCCTGCTCCTTAACTTCCTGTCATGGACTCTGCTCCCTGACTTCCTATCCATGGACCCTGGATCCTGACTTCCTTCCACCAGCACAGCATCTGCCAGACCCTGCAACTGTCACCCACAAATCCGTCCTCCCATATGCTCAAGGCCAAGACCAGCGGTCACTTAGGACAGCCGGGAAGACTGGTTTCCGGGGCTTGTGAGCTGGGAGCAACTCTCTCAGGAAGTCCTCCCCACAAGAGTCTGAACACACATTGGTGAGGCGTCTGTCATCAAACAGTGGGGGGGTCTCCTTCTGTGGCGTCTGGGGTCTCTCTCTCTACTGAACAACACAACGTGGCATACGTGTGAGGGTCCAGGCCTCAGCTTAAGGTGAGTATTGGTCCAGAGACAGTACAGGGGCCAGTTGCTTCCATTGCATATGGCAATCCAAGCTCAATTCCCCACACCTTGTAGGGTTCCCTAAGTACTGCCAGGGACGAGTCCTGAGCACCTCTGGGTGTGTGCCCCGACCCTGTGGCTATTTCTGCTCTCTCCACTCTTGGGACCCTTCATGTTCTTAGCATGAACCAAGGCTCAGTGATGGGCAGAAGCTCCCCCATCTTCCAGAGAAACCCACCTCAGGGGAGAGTTTGCACCTTCCTCCCCCCCCCCCCCCCCAACTCACAGCCAGCACCAACTCCCCAGGCCAAGGGACCATTTGGGAAGTAGACCCCTGCTTTAAGCACCGCCCCCACCCCCCAGCCAACAGGGTGGGACAGAGATGGGTGGGGCCCACAATGATCAAGGAATAATGCCTGGCACTTGACAGTCCCAGCCTCGGGGGAGGGTGTACTTCCCAGACAGAGAAGTAGCACCCGTCTAGCCTCCAAGGGCTTCTCCCACTGCTGCCAACACCAGCCAATGCACCCCTCATCTCACCTGGCCGATGTGCCTTTGGAACCGCCATGTTGGCCACCCGCCCTCCATCCTGAGGTTTGGGGGGAGACGCAGTGAACCTGCAGATCCCCGACTCTGAAGGGGTGCTGGAGGTCAGACTGTCTGTGTACTCATTTGTCCCTGCCGTCAACTGTCCGGACGAGGTGTCAGAGATGAAGCACTCGGTGATGGTGAACTTGGCATGTCTCAGCTGCTCTTCCATCTTGGCGTGCTCGTAGGCCCGGGCCAGTTCTTCGTAAGTAGAGGAGGCACTTTCTGTGGAGACCATGCTGCTCCGTGCTCGGTCTGCAGTGCAGGGGAGAGGACGGGCGGGTAAGCTCAGGGCATGTGGGGGAGAGGGTGGGCGGGTGAACACAGGGTTACTGGACAGACGGATGACGTTGGCACGATGGGCGGGTCTCCCAACAGGAGATTCCTCCTGGACCCCAGGGCGACCCCGGGGTGGGGGCAGGGCTGGGTCTCTAGGTGAGGTCACTTGTCACTGGAAGGTCATTCTGTGGCTCTGGGAACTGCAGCCCTGCTGAAAGTCCCCACCAACACCTGCTGCCCCCTGCCTGGGACGTCTCCATGAATCAGGGGTCCAGCCCTTTAAGACATTCTGCTCCTGGTGAAGGTCATGGGGAAGCTGCAGGGGAAATGTAAAGGCTGTCCCCTCCCTGCTCTGTCCCCCTTCTGCCCTCTAACCCCAAGGTCAGCGAGTCCTCAGGGGCTCCAATTGGCAGGACACTGCACTTTGCTCTTCTGGCCTCAGAAGGCCTGATGTGGGTTAGAAGCAAAGCTGGATTGCAAGCCATGACACCCCCAAAAGGTGGGAGGAAGGGAGGGAGGGAGGGAGGGGGGAAGGAGAGAGAGGAGGAGAGAGGAAGAGAGAGAGGAAGAGAGAGACAGGGGGAGAGAGGGGGAGAGAGAGAGGGAGAGGGGAAGAGAGAAAGAGAGAGGGAGGGAGAGAGAGTGAGGGTGAGAGAGAGGGAGGAAGAGGGAGAGAGGGGGAAGGAGAAAGAGAGGGAGAGAGAAAGAGAGAGGGAGAAAGAGAAAGAAAGGGGGAAGAGAGAAGCAGAGAGAGGGGGGAGAGGGAGAGAGAGGGAGAGACAGAGAGACTGAGAGAAGGAGAGATAAGTGCCTGTCATAGAGGCCTGGGGTGAGATAAGGGTATTGTGAGGGAAACTGGGGCCATTGGTGGTGGGAAATGTCCCCTGGTGGAAGGATGTGCACCAGCTGGAACATTGTATGACTGAAACCTGATCACGAACAGCTTTGTGATTGCGTATCTCACAGTGACTCAGTACAAAAAAATTAATATATATATATTTTGCTTTTTGGGTCACACCTGGTGATGCTCAGGTGTTACTCCTGGCTCTGCACTCAGGAGTTACTCCTGGCGGTGCTCAGGGGACCATATGGGATGCTGGGAATCGATCCCAGGTTGGCCGCGTGCAAGGCAAACACCCTACCTGCTGTGCTATCGCTCCAGGCCCCAAATCAATACATTTTTTTAAAAAGTTGTGGATTTGCACAGAAACTGTCCCCCAGGCAGGAGGTACCTGTTCCAGGCAGACCCATCCTTCCCATGTGCCAGACAACCGAGACTCCCCCAGACAGAAGGGGTACCTCGGGGCCAGAGCATCCATTAGCTGCCTCTGAAGCCACCTGGAAAGTTTGGGTGTCACCTCTGTGGAACTCTGGGACTCTTGCAAAAGAAATAACAGTCATAAAAATCCATGTGCACGGTTGACATGCCACCTCTGGAGCGCTATTTTTGAAGTAGATCATCCAGAACAAAAGAAAATGAGTATGAAAATTTCCTACAGTGATTAGATTTAGATATAATTTCTTTTCAAAGTTTAAGGTGTGGAGAGGGGGCAACCCAGCGCTATTCTTAGGCCCCGTGTTCTCTCAAAGTGAAGCCTTGGTGACTGGTGGCAGAGACGAGATAGCTTACTGTAATCACTCATGGTCAAATGGACCAGCCTACGATGTGTCAGGGGAGGGTGATCGGACCTGATCACGTCCCTTCCAGGGCAGTGTCTGAGTCCAGAATGGCCATGGGGCAGACGCCCAGGAATGGTTACCAGCATGTGGGCCAACATTTGACAACTGCCCCATTTCTCCTAGCGGGTTATGGGTGGGAAGGCAGAGAGAGGGGGCCTGCGAATCAGGAGGGTCTCCAAGTCCACACTGTTGGCCTCCAATTTTGCAAAGTTTCACTGAGCCCCAGAAGGAGTCAGGGACCTGCAGATATTAAGGCATGAGGGAGAGACGAGGCCAGACCATTGCAAAGGGACCCAAAGAGAGGACGTCAGGCTCCTGGGGGTGGGCACTGACCCTTCCTGGGATAGATGAATGGATGGGGCAGGGGGGTGCCACCTGTGTCTTGGGGGGGCCCCACCTGTGTCTTATGAGGGGTCCCACCTGTCTCTTGGGAGGGGGTTCCCACATGTGTCTTGAAGGGTCCCACCTGTGTCTTGGGGGGTCCCACCTGTGTCTTGGGAGGAGCTCCCTACCTGTGTCTTAGGGGGTCCTACCTGTGTTTTGGGGGGTTCCACCTGTGACTTGCAGGGGTTCCACCTGTGTCTGACGGGGTTCCACCTGTGTCTTGAAGGGGTTTCGCCTGTGTCTTGAGGGGTCCCATCTGTGTCTTGGGAGGGGATCCCCACCTATGTCTTGAGGAGTCCCACCTGTGTCTTGGGAAGGGGGTCCTTGTCTGTGTCTCAATGGGATCCCACCTGTGTCTTGGGGGTCCCCGCCTGTGTCTCGGGGGAGGGTGTCCCACCTGTGTCTTGGGAGGGGCTGACGCTGTAACTGTCGCTCTCCTTGTCCATGGACCCGGCAGCCCGGGGTGTTGGCAGCCTCCAGTCTGTGGTGAGCGTGTGTGTGGAGATGGTGGGGTGAGGTCTGTTGAGCGTCCACTGGCTGGCGTACCGGTTCCTCGCCGTGGGCCCGGCCTTGGCGTTTCTCCGTGTGGTAGGATCTGTGGATGGCAAAAATCATTGCTCCCTGTCTCGAGGAACGTGGATCAGCTGGGAGCGAAGTGTACTGTGGGCTTCTCCCAACTCAGCTCTGAGCACGTCCCGCCCACCTAGAGCACTGTCTTTGGGAGACCCAAAGCATTTAGCAAATCCCAGTGGGGAAACGCCACAATTTCAGGACTTGGAATATGGGTTTGGCCTTTGCCTGTGGCTGCTAGTGGTCCTGGGAGCTGACTTATTAAACCTTATTGAGAAGCTGGCTTCTTCTGAGAAATGAAGGAACACTGCTAAATGAGCTTTAATGCCATTTTCTTCCTAAAAGTTCTACAAGAACCAGAAAGGTAGACCAGTGCTAAGTTGCTTGCCTTGAATGCTGCTGATCTGAGTTCGATCCCTGGAACCCCACATGGTCCCTCAAGAACTGCCAGAAGGACCCCTGAGCACAGAGCCAGGAGTAAGCTCTGATCACTGCTGAGTGTGGACCCCCAACCCAAAATAATAATAAATAATAATAATAATAAAATAATAGAAATTTCTTCTGTTCTGAAGTAAATGTATAGATTAAAGTAGATCCTACTTCCTCACCCAAGATATGCCAACACCTAAGTGAAGAGTATTCTGGGAGAACCACCTTTTCTGGATCTCTGGAAGTGGGAGGGTTCAGTTCCCTGGGGCGACTTTTTCTGGGACAAGCTAGCAACCTAGATGACCCCTTCTGACCTTTGAATTCTCCGCTTCACAAAGAGGAGATGCAGACAGCTGTCTGTGATCATGGCTGGCCACTTTTAACTAAGCTCTACAGTCGCTCCTACAGAGAAAACTCCTAAGTTCTGAGAGAACCCAACAGAGAGTTGACTGGCAACGTTATACATGGGCTTTGTTCTGTGCTCTCTGAGCTGGATGTCTCCCTAGAGGGGGGTATGGGCTTCATGCTTGGATGGACCAGATACCCAACTCGAACCACAGGTACCCACAGCCCCAGGTTATTTGATGGATGAGGGTCTGGGAGCTCAGTGTGGTGGAAACTAGAACCTTTGTCACCCATCTGTCCAAGAACACCCTCGGCTCAGCCCCAGCCCACTCTGACTCCATGTGACTGGTGTATTGGGTTCTGGGGGCAAGACGTTGGGGAGGGGGGACAAAAAGACTAAAGGGAGGATTTTCCTCTTTGCCAGTTTCTGGTTCTAGGACTTGGAACCCAACCCCCTACTCCATAAAGAGCCAAATCGTGATATTTTAAGATCTCCCAGATCATCAAAATGATCCTTCTTGGATTGGATTCTCTGGATATTGATTGTTAAGACATCTTTCATGGCTTCCTGGAAAAATTCTGCAGAAGAGTTGATTGGAAGAGCTTTGGGGAGCTTGCTTAGAATGCAAATGAGTCGCTCAAGAGCGCCGGGCTCTCTGGACGGCAAAGTATGAATGATAATTGGGTTTCTCCCCTGAAAAGCCAGGAGACAGGTCCGCAAAGAGACAGAAAAACATTCTCGCGGGTAGGAGGCGGAATGTCTTCCAGGCACTATCGACTTGATAAGTGGAGCTTAAATAGTGGAGCTTGTTATTTAAATGCTAATGAATCTTTGCCAGAAAATTACCCATTCCCTTACATAAGTTTGGCGGGTAGTCGTTTTCATTCCTCTTTGAGTTTCTTGCAGCTACAGCTGTGGATCAGTTGATGCCTGTGTACAGGCTTCTGGGGGCGGGGCTCTGTGGAGGCTACTTCAAGGACACTGTGAGTTCCAGCCCTCAGGGCCTCTCTTGGGTCTCTTCCTGCCCAGCTCATCACCAGAGGTGGCCAGACGGCTGCCCTCTGAGACGCAAAGTTCCAAAGTCAGGTGGCACATGTCAGATTTGGTCCAAAGTCAGAATGCTTTTATGTCAACGTTGCTCATCATCCTCTTTTTTTTTTTCTTAGATGATGAAACATTTTTTTCTAGAGGCTTGAAATAGGTCAGATCTGACTTTCTTGAATCAGGGTTTGAAGTTCCTTTTTGTATCAGCAATCATACTAAAGGCAAAATGGTTTCAGTAGGTAAAATATTATGAAGATAGCCCATGTGATAATGTTGCTGGTCTACTTTCTGTTGGGTTCTTTCAAAATTTAGGTGTTTTCTCTGGGAGCTCAGAGAGAAAGGGTGTGTATGTGTGTGTGTGTGTGTGTGTGTGTGTGTGTGTGCGTGTGTGTGTGTGTTATAATATATGCTATATACTGTACTCTTAGTATATATCAGACACTAACACTATATGATATATACTATATACCTATACTATATGTAAAGTATAGGGTACATATATACTAAGAGACAACATGGGCTTTTACAGAGGGGAAAAAGCAGAGAATGTCAAGCCTGGTAAGCTACCTGTGATGTATTCAATATGCCAAACACAGTAACAACAAGTCTCAAAATGGAGACGTGACTGGGCCTGCTCGAGCAAATTGATGAACAATGGGAGGACAGTGTTGTGTGTTGTTGTGTCTTTTGGGAGAAGGTTATATACAATTTCTCCAAGTTGTCTTAGCCTGGGGTTCTCTGTACTCATAACAGCTATTCCAAGTGCTATCACAGGAAAAGGCTTGTCTCAGTGGTTCTCTGAGATTCTTACCACGGCCTTTACTTCCTGCTTTCCTCTCCTCTTTGGAGGGGTTCTCCCTTCTCTGGGTTGTGGGGGTGTCCCCATCTCCCAGAGCTCAGTACCGGCTTCTCACGGGGAGGTGTCCCTCACGCCTTGGGGCTACTCCAGGTCTAGTATTCTTTGATTTTATGGTTTTGTTTCCGGGGTCACCACAGCAGTACTCAGGACTTACTCCTGGCTCTGTGCTCAGGAATCACTGCTGGTGGGTTTGGGGGTCCATAGAGGTGCCAGGGTTTGAATTTGACTCAATCGCACACAAGTCAAGTGGGTTACACACTGCACTATCTCTCTCACTAGCCCCAATGTATTCTTAGTTTTATTTCCTAAAAACTCAGGGCCCCCCATCAACTTGCCCACATATCCTCCCTATTTTTGATGAGTGAGGTTGATGAAGCTGCTTTGTACCTCAGCTGAGTTCTCCTGCTTAGCTTCTGGGAGCTCAGCTAAAATACAAGTTTCACTTGGATTCCACTCTGGAGACTCCTGTGCATATTTATGAGCTAATCTACGAACCACATGAGTGTGAGGATTTACGGCTCCAGCTCGGGCCATGTTGGCATTGCCTCCCCAACATCCTGCTCTCTGTAGAGCTCATCGAGCATGCACCTGGCAGGCTCGACAGCCAGAGACCAGAGGGCGTGTGATGCAAGCATCGCTCGGCCTTCCGACAAGGCTCCTGATCTTGAGCTAAACTTCTGCCCCCTGAATCAAATTATTGGAAGGATCCTGCATTTGCGGCAGAGAAGTCTCTGTGCACAGAGCTGCCAAAGGCACTGCAATTGTGGTGTGAGTCTGCTGTTTGTTTTGATCCCCTGCTATTGGCTTTCAAATCCGGGGCCTTGGCATGAAGAGTACGTCTATTGGCTGTCCTCCGATGAGGGTAGAGCTGGGTGCCTGGAGCGTCCCTATTTTTTTGGTGAACACATTTTGTGAATATTATTAAGGGCTTATTCTACCCCATTTCCATGATATCTGGTGCCACGCTGGGTGATAGGGTGGGCAAAATTGCAAACGAAAAAGATATGCCCTCAGGAAATGGAGGGATAGTACAGTGGGTAGGGCCCTTGCCTTACACATGGCTGACCCGGGTTCAGTGCCCAGCATCCCACAGGGTGCCCTGGACCCATGCCGGGACTGATTCTTGAATGTCCTAAATGCTCTGAATGCAGAAACAGTGGTAAACTCTGAGCACTGCCAGGTGTGCCCACTCCCCCAAAGATGCTGTCCATCCTGGGGATTCTCCTCAGTTCAAACACCAATAAAATGGGGTGCAGCTCTCTTTCTATGACCTTCACCGCCCATCATCTCTACTAAATGGCAGTGAAGGCAGTTGAGAGAGGGGACGTGGGTGATTATGACACTCCCTTCCCCAACCCTGCAGAGACATGGTAAGAGAGAGGCAAAAGATCGAGAAATCTGGGGGTCTCTCCACTTCGCTAACTGACCATCACTGGCATGAGATGGATCCGTCTTGTTCTTGGGGAAGGTGGGAGAAGCTTGGTGAGCAGGTGTGGGGAGCTAGAAACTTCCATAGAGGAGTCAGAAGAAAAAGACCCACAAAAACGATAAAGGTAGGTGCTGGAGGAGGCAGAGGGGCAGGGAGAAGCCCAACTACGGAGCTGGGTAGGACAGGAATCATGCCCTGCTCGTGTCCAGTCCCCTCTCTGCCTGCCTGGGCATCTTGGATTAATCAAAGTGGTCTGCTGCGAGAGTTCAGCACTCTGCAAGAGTTCAGTGTGGTGTGGGTGTGATCTGAGAGACAGCACAGGGGTCCTTGCAGGTGGGTTAGACCCCTGGCACCACACGGTCCCTGAAGCATCACAGAATGTGGCCATAGGTAATCCCTGGCATCACAGGTAATCCCTGGGCAGCACCGTACCCTTGGGCCTCTGCATTGAACTGTCACCTGGTTAGCCAAGCAGATTCAAGGGTCCTCCCTGTACCCTCCACCCCCCTCCCTGCCCCAAGGAGAATGGGTCTAAGCTCTCCCGGGGGAAGCTTTGTAAAGCGTGTGGGGGAATACGTGCTTCTGAAAGGGCCCTTCTAAAGGGGTTTTGGGTGTCCACACCCGCCCACTCCATGTCTCAGGGAACGGAGAATAGGAAGGGAAAATGAATGGTATGTCTTTTCTCAACAAACTACTGGACGCCGACAACTCCCGGGATCCAAAGAGGAGCTCGAGGGCTCAGTGCTCTTGCCTCACATGGGGCCGGCCCCAGTTTAATCCTCAGGTTGTGGGATCCCCAGAACCACCTGGCATGACCTTGGAGCACAGAACCAGGAGTAGCCCTTGAACACTGCTGGGTAGAACACAACCCACCCTTTCCTCTCACCGAAAAGAACTAAAGAAACATGAGGGAGAGATGGGGTGGGAGGTAAAACTTAAAATACTAAACAATCTTTCTTGCCCAGACCAGTGTTCTAATTTTAGCTCTGCAGGGCTGGGGTCACACATGGCTCCTGCCCCCCAGTCCCGTCTGAGTTCATCCTGCTCCTGCTTGCCTTGTGCCATGTGTCTCCAGTTCTCTTGCCCTGAAGCAGGCAGCCCCAAGGGGCCTCAGTTTCCCTGGACACTATCTCAGTGGCCGCTAAGATCCAACAACAACAACAACCAAAAAAAAAACCACAGTGTCCCCACTCGAGTCTCAGCCCTCAGACTGCCGAGGCCACCAGGAGCTTTGCGGGGAGGGCACAAGGGCGGGGTTGGGTGTCTCCACTCACTCGTTCCCGGCCGAGCATCCGAGACGTCCACCAGGGGCCCCGTGGCCTGTGACACCGACTGGTAGTGGACCGTGTGCGTCACGGTCAGGGACTTCTGTTTGGCCGCCTCTCCAAAGTCAGCATCCGTGAGCAGCACGGTGGAGCGGTCATCTGCAGACACAGAGAGGGGGTCAGACACGGGAACCTAGGCCTGGCCCCTGGACTGGGCTCAGAGTACAGGGTTGGAAAGACGGAAGAGCAGCGCTGTCAGCGTTTCTGCATGAGTAGGCATTTAGGCAGCGCTGACAGCCTGGGGGCTTGCAGTGGCCTGAGTTTTAGCATCTTCCCATCTACTGAGTCTGATGAGAGGAGGTGGCAGGAGAGAAGGGGGAAGAGGAGGGGAGAGAGGAGGAGGGAGCAGAGGGAGGAGAGGAGAAGAAAGGGGAGGAGAGAAGAGGGGAGGAGAGAGGAGAGAAGAGGGGAGGGGAGGCGATAAGGGGAGGAGAGAAGGGGAAGGGAGGGGAGAAGAGAGGAGTGGAGAGGAAGAAAGGGGAGGGGAGAGGAGAGGGGAGAGGAGGGGTAAGGGGAACAGAGGGGAGGGGAGGGGAGGAAGGGGAGGGAGGAGGAGGGGGAGGGGAGAGGAGAGGAGGAAAGGGGAGAGGAGAGGAGGGGAGAGGAGAGGAGAGGAGGGGAGGGGAGGGGAGGGGAGAGGAAAGGAGAGGAGAGGAGAGGAGAGGAGAGGAGAGGAGGGGAGAGGAGAGGAGAGGAGGGGAGGGGAGGGGAGGGGAGAGGAGAGAAGGGGAGGGGAGGGGAGTGGAGGAGAGAGAAGAGGAGGGGAGAGGAGAGGAGAGGAGGGGAGGGGAGACGAGAGGGGAGGGGAGGGGAGTGGAGGGGAGAGAAGAGGAGGGGAGAGGAGAGGAGAGGAGGGGAGGGGAGACGAGAGGAGAGGGGAGGGGAGGGGAGGGGAGGGGAGACGAGAGGAGAGGGGAAGGGAGGGGAGGGGAGAGGATAGGAGAGAATGGGAGAGAGGAGGAGATGGGAGAGGAGAGGAGAGGAGGGGAGGGGAGAGGAGAGGAAAGGATGGGAGAGGAGGGGAGGGGAGAGGAGAGGATGGGAGAGAGGAGGAGATGGGAGAGGAGAGGAGAGGAGGGGAGAGGAGAGGAGAGGAAGGGAGGGGAGAGGAGAGGAGAGGAGAGGAAGGGAGGGGATAGGAGAGGAGAGGAAGGGAGGGGAGAGGAGAGGAGAGGAAAGGAGAAGAGAGGAGAGGAGAGGAGAGGAGAGGAGAGGAGAGGAGAGGAGAGGAGAGGAGGGGAGGGGAGGGGAGGGGAGGGGAGAGAGGGGACGCGAGGACGGAGGGCACACCCAGGAATCCCCACCTGGGGCTTCCTGACTTATCCCATCACAGGTGGGCATTCTTGGGAGCTGTACCCACAGTCTGTCCAGGAAAGACCCCAGGTGGATCAGAGGGGAGCTCTCTGCTCGTGGGGAAGCTGTTGTGTTCTCCGAGAGCTGCTCATTTGTTCATGCAGTGCTCCAGAGGTTACCGTATTGAATGAGGCCCTGGCCCCGGGCCTGAAACAAGAGGGCAGGCCCGTGGCAGCCCTGCTGTGTGCAGCGACCCCCCAGGGTGCCTTACCAATGGTCTCCATGGTGTCTCTCTCTTCGATCAGAAGCTGAGCCCTGGGTATATCGATATGCATCCGCAGAGTCTGCTGCTGCTTGCTCAAGGTGTCTGAAGTCCGGGTGTTCTTACTGGGAAGCAAGGAGCAAGAGAACGTGAGCATACATGGCTCTGCTCATTCACCCTGTGGGTCAACTTGGCTTATTACCTAATGACGAGTGTCTTAGAGAAAGAGGAGGGGAAGAGCTCAATACGTAAGTGTCCATGAGCTCTGCTTGAATGCTATTTATTAATATTGAATATAGCAGTGAATTTTAGGTTTGGGAAATACATATTTATAGGACCAGAGAGAAAGTACAGTGAGTAGGGTCCTTGCCTTGCACACAGTCAGCCCTTGTTTGATCCCTGGCACCACTTAAGATCCCTTGAGTGACTCCTGAACAGAGGCAGGAATAAGTCATGATCACTGCTGGGTGTGTCCCCTAACCAAACTATTACATGCACTATAGCACTGTCCTCCCGTTGTTCATCGATTTGCTTGACTGAGCACCGTAATAGTAACCAGCTTCCATTGTGAGACTTGTTACTGTTTTTAGCATATCGAATATGCCGCGATGAGCTTGCCAGGCTCTGCCAAGCAGGCGGGATACTCTCGGTAGCTTGCCGGGCTCTCCAAGAGGGGCAGAGGAATCGAACCTGGGTCGACCGCATGCAAGACAAATGCCCTACCAACTGTGCTATCGCTCCAGCCCAAATTAATTATAAATTGTAATATGGGCTGGAGCGATAGCACAGTGGTAGGGGGTTTGCCTTGTGCGCAGCCAGCTCAGCCAAGCCGGGTTCGATTCCTCCACTCCTCTCGGAGAGACCAGCAAGCTACCGAGAATATCTCGCCCACACGGCAAAGCCTGGCAAGATACCTGTGGCGTATTCCATATGCCAAACACAGTAACAAGTCTCAAAATGGAGACATTACTGGGCTCACTCGAGCAAATCGATGAACAATGGGAGGACAGTGACAGTGATAAATTTTAATATTAATATATAAATTATCAATAGATAGGGGCTATGTAGTGTCCCATTTCTTGTGAAAAATATAAATAATATAAATAAGGCCAAAATGTCATTTGGAAACTAATAACAGTTTCCTCTCTCGAATCTGAGCTATTCCAATAATGGCGAGCCAGTATCTGGCTTTCTCCGGATGAGCTTGATGAAAGCATTTGCCTTTACATCTGGTGTTGTCTTATTTTTGTTCCGGTAACAAATCATAAACCTTGTTAGCATCCTCCATACGAGTTTTGTTTTCCTAGCCAAAATTACATTTGAGGATAGAAAAGAAGGAAAGCAATTACTATTAAGAATTTTATCTCAAAATTTGTGTACCGGAAAATCACTCTGGTGGGGGAGATCTGTCTTCTCTCAGAAAATGAAAACAGGTAGTAAAACTGCCTGGTCTGACCGAGCTCAGCTGCCATTGGTACTGGGGAGGAAGCTCTGCCCGCTGCCTGGAAGTTGGGAAGAGACGGCAAAGGGCTTGACCAGCAGCCCACCTGGCACGAAGGTGGGTCAGGACCAGAGGGCTTTGCTGTGAGGGCGAGATACTCTCAGTCGCTTGCTGGACTTCTGAGCCAGGTGGAGGAATCGAACCCAGCTCCGCTGGGCTGGCTGCATGCAAGGCAAATGCCCTACCACTGTGCTATTGCTCCAGCATATATATATATATATATATATATATATATATATATATAGTATTTTGGGGAGGGGGGTTTTTGGAACCTGGAGGTGCCCAGGGCTCTGTGCTCATGGATCACTCTTAGTGGTGCTCAAGGGACCATAGGAGATGCCAGGGATCAAACTGGGGGCGGGCACACTCAAGGCAAGTGCCTTATGCCCTCGACTTTCCCGTTTAGCTACATTGTCAACAATGCCTTTTGAGAAGTTCCTCACTCCGAAGCTGCTTAACCAAGTCCAGGGGCTCATGGGTGGCACCCGTGGCCACTCACAGCTCAGTAAATGTCAAGATCTGCTTGGAGCCGTATTTCCAATGCCTGCCACCCTGAGGAACAATTATTAGCCACTTTCAAGAGGGATAGAGAAGGGAGAGATGGTCTCCTCTACAGGTCAAGAGCTCTTTTGTCCCATCCAGCCGTCACCAGGAGCCCTGGACCGTCCTAGTCCCGGAAGGCACATGTCCTGCTGAGCCCATGACAGCAGGGGAGACAGCCCGCTGGAGCCCAGTGATGGGCAGAATCCCGTCAGAGGTCTGTGTGTCCTCCCTGGCATGGCTCTGTGCGTTTTGTCAAGGTCCTTCCTTTCTTCCTGTGCATGTCAACAGACCCGCCCGGGGGAGCTTGGATGGCTTCGGAGAACGGCCTTGGTGGTGCTTGACCTTGAACCAGATTGCTCATCCTGCAGCTCAGGAACTGGGGCAGGCAGGCAGAGCCTGTGTGCTAACAGCCGTGCGCAGCCTAAATCTCTCCCATGGGCTACAGACTCTGAAATCAGTGAGTCCGACACGTGTACTCATGAAAGCTCCTTAGTGTGCGCTAGGGAGGAGGGCTGATGCTGGCCCAGACCAGCTCTATTTATTTAGTTCCCTCCCCCCGTCTCCCCCACCCAACCCCCCCAAACACATGGGGAGCACCTCCTCTGTGAATATCTCAAAGACCTGCTTAGGAACTTCATTAGGGACTTGAACTCGTCCTTGGACCAAAAATAGAAGTGTGAGCTAGTTTCTTCCGAGGATCATGAATAGTTATGAGGCGTTGCAAGTGTGCTGTTAAACAGCTACGGACCCGGAGCATGGCGAGACTTAAGCCACAGTGAGGGGTCTGTCTACTTGGCATGACTGGCACGGGAAGCAAGCTCGAGAGCCTGGCAGAGGCACAAAGGCAGAGTGGGAGAAACTTGAAGAACAAGGATGCTCAGGGCTGCAGGTGAAGTCTTTCCCTCCTGAGCAGCTCTGGAACCAGGTTTCTAGCCCGGAGCTGGGCGGGGAGCTTGGGGCGAGGGAAGCCTTTCTCAGGCTGCCGTGATTCCTGAGGATCCGCTTCTCTAACAGCTTTCTGGGATGTGGCTCCCTCTGCTAGGAAGGAGAGGCCCCCACAGGAAGCTCATTCAACACTCCCCCCCTTCCTGCTTCTCTTCCCAGCCAGTGGGAAATAGCCGATGGGCTGAGGCTAGTCAACAGTCCAACTTGGGAGGGGAGTGTAAAAACATATTACTTGGTATCTGTATATCTTGCTGGAGGGATTTTGATCCATAGAAGAGAAATCATAAGTCAAAAACGTAAGTATTGTCAGTGTCAGGCTATCCTTAAAAAAAGAAAATGTTAAGGCAACCCTCTCCACCCAGCAGCTGAACTTCCGGAAGCCCCGGAAGCTCAGGCCACTGCTCACAGCTGCCACCAGGCCAATCACTCACACAACCAAACCTCTAAGGAGATGCAGGCCAAGCAGCTAAGATTCGCGGACATAGTGGGCCCTCTGGCTGAGGACTGTGGGGCGCCTTTGGGAGCAGGTGGGCTGAGTCCTTGCCCTGCTGCAGCAACCACACCCACCATTGTAGCCATGCCAATGGCTCAATGCCACTGCTCCACTAATATCCTCTGCAGAGACACCAGATCTCGAAAAATCTCAGGTATTCCAGGCTGAGAACTCTGGGGTCTTTCTGGAGTGGGTGCAGATAGTTCTGGAAGCTCCTGCAGCCCCACACACTTTCCTGCAGCACCACCACGCCAACTCATTGATCCCAGATCAGAAATCCTAAAGTGTCGGGACCACACAGCCACATACACGGCTACACGAGACCTCTCAACTCATCAATACTGAAATTCTAGTAGGAGCACACCAAATTACATGGGGAAGGAGCAGAGAAGCCAACTCAACTCAATAAACAAGAACAGTAACACGAAAGGCTCGACCTGCTAGCAACCAGCAGCTCAGTAAATCCTTAGACAAAGGACCTAACAACCCCCTGGTGAGATATAACAGTTTTTTTTTTTTACATATTTTCCTTTACTGAAGAATTTTTTTATAATCCCTTTAGCTACTTAGTTGCAATAAGCAATATAAAATAAGTTGTTGTGGGCCTGCTAAAGGGTCAGGCCTGGAGGGTGGTTTGGTAAATGGGGGCTATGGCAGGGGGAGGGTCACTTTGGTGGTGGGATTGATGTTTGAACATCGAACGCCTGTAATGAATGCATTATGAACAAATTGTAAACCATAGTGTTAAATAAAGTATCTTATTTACAAAAAAAAAAATGGGTTAAGGTGAGTTGGAAATCATTCTCTGAAACATGTTATCTGGGAAGGCTGGGTTCTTACCTCATGAGCATTTCAGCTAAACTCTTTGCATCTGTGGAAAGAAAACTCAGTGTTAGTACTGCCAGGAGCCAAGATGCCTGACCTGCAATTTAAGAACTAATCTCTTCTTGGAAAAATATTAAAATACATTGTGTAAGTTTCTGAGCTACGCCCAGGATAACTGCCATGAGCCCACCGTTAGGGCTCACATCCTGATTTATTGAATATCTGCATGCTTTGTTAATTCCCCATTTTGCCCACTTCCTCATGTAATCAATTATAAAAGGCTAGCTTGGGAGAAACGAATTTGGAGCTTGATCAGAGTCTTGTCTGGCTCCCATTCTTCTGTCTCTCTTTTTTCCCAGTCACGCACCCTCTCCCTGTTATCCACGTTGACCAGTCCTGCGGGTCGGGGCAAGTATAATGCATGAATAATGCACTCATGTTCGCCAAGGCATGTGTAACAAGCATTCTGTAGAGAAGACTATAGCCACCTTTAAGGTCATCATACATCCAAATCATTACCAACCACCTAGAGATCTATGGATTATTTTTTCTACATGGGATATAAATGTTCATGCATTTTCGGTACATGTACCACATGTCTGTATATCACATATATTGGAGTATGCACCATACATATATCACATGTAAGCACATCCATGCATCCACGCACACATTCACATATACAGGTGTGCATACACGTATGAGTAGGCATGTATCCAACCAGGCAGGTGAATATGTTTGTATACACATGGGTATATGTACGTCTTTGTGTATATGTGTGCATTTGTGTATGTAAGAGTATATAAACATTCAGGGGCAGGGAAATTCTGAAACACCCAGTAAAGGTTTTATTATGAGCTATTTGTCATTTTTCAAAAAGTATATCTCAAATAAGTAAGAAAAAATAATTTTATGATGGTAACACTTCAAAGGCAATTCATTCATGTAGCACAAATTCTATTCTTTGTTATCAAAACATCAAAATCTAAAAGCTCACAGCACTGTAAATTACTGTAAAAGGCATTATTATGAATCTATGAGTACCACAGTTTGATAAAAAAAAATGGAATAAATGACATATTCCTGAGCCTGGAAACTTGGCTGTTTATTTTAAACTCATGAAGGAAATTATTTCCACCCCTGCTGTTGTTTACAGAGACCTGGTTACCATTCCCGACAAACAAAAAGTCCTGCCTGAAAATGATCTAGACAAAAATTCTCCCTTTCAGTGCCATTGATTTGAAGTTCTCGTATTCTTTAAAATAGAACGTGTTCACTTTACACATTTGTCCCAGTGAAAATGAAACGTTTTCTTTCTTTCAACAAAAAAACCCTTTACTGTTGTTTTTCTTTCGTTGTTCTCTACAAAGTCTTGACATTCAATGTCATGTCAATGAAGAGAACTTTCTGGAAATGGGTTCTGTGGACAAAGTTACTGAGTTGATCAAGAATGCTCGCACTGGGGCATTTAAAATCCCATATTTGGGAGACATGCATCTCATGATTTTCCATGTTTATGTTGGGGATCCCTGAAAGGGGAGGGCTGTGGGCCGACCAATGTGGGCACCAAAGCCAGCTCAGTTCAAGTTAGCCCTACTAATTCTCAAGCACGCAACAGGGTGCTGATGTGTGCACAGAGGGGTTTAGTCTGTAAGTAGAGCAGGTCCCCTTGGTCCCAAAACAAAGAACGCAAAAGGCATTTATTATTTATTTATTTATTTATTGCTTTTTGAGTCACACCCAGCAATGCACAGGGGTTACTCCTGGCTCTGCACTCAGGAATTACTCCTGGCAGTGCTCAGGGGACCATATGGGATGCTGGGAATCGAACCCGGGTTGGTCACGTGCAAGCCAAATGCCCTACCCGCTGTGCTATTGCTCCAGCCCTAGCAAAAGGCATTTACTCTCCAGCTCCTATCGTTATATTTATCTGCACAGACAACGTAAATATGGTGAGTTCCTTCTCTTCCTGAATGACTTAACACTGGCAAAGTGAGTGAGTGACTGTGTGCGCGGGGGGGGGGGGGGGTGGGGGGCGTGGGGTGCAGGAGGCAATGCCAGGAGCTTGGAATGGGTTAGCAATGTGTTCCAAACCACTAAGCTATCCAGTTCAATACTCTACAAAGCAGGGCTCATTTTGAAGGAGCCGGTGTTGCCCTTTGGCTTGCAGCTTGAAGGTAACAGAGATCTCAGCTTTGCCCGATGTATCTGCTGCCCTTATCATGTCTCCTTCGCTACTCCAAGTCAATCCTCACAGCCTCCCCTCCTAGGAATTTCTTTGGTTTTCAGACCCAAGAGCTAAGGAATTGCAGTTGGCCCACAGGTGGGAACAAAGTCTCCTCAAACACAGACTACATACAAATGTCCACACCTGAGCAATGCCCTCATTCTCCCCGAGGCCCAGCTATCCACCCTGGTCCACCTTCTCGGCACGGGCCCTCTTCCAGAAGATCCCTTTCTTGCTCTGTCTCGGCTCCCAAGCGGGTTGCCAAGAAGGAATGCTGCTGAGCACACCCTGAGATGCACTGTCGTGTGGATACGTCTTTGAGAAAGCTGAGGAGCTGGGGTGCAGTGCAGATGGGTGCAGCGGGCTGGGGTCTGCGTGGTGTGGCTGGCGGAAGGGACCCTGCGTGCCAGCCTGCTGCAGAGAGGCAGCACAAGCTGGCTGGGGCCCTGGCTGAGAAGGAACTCGGAGTCATTGTTCCTTTGACTCCTGATACTGGTCACACTACAGACCCTGCACTTCATCTCTGTACTCACGGGTTGGGGGAGGCTAGGATGGGTTGATGACCTTCCCTGACAGGGACCGGGAGCAGCAGACAGTTCAGGCTTGTAATCCTGAGCTCTGGAACATACAGCAGTCTTGCATGCCCATGCTGGCTCCCAGCTGTGTGGCCTCTCCTGTGCCTTCCTGCAGAGACCCCCCGCTCCCTTCCCTTCTTTCCTCCTTCCAGCCTTCATCCCTCTTTCCCGTTTCCTTCTCCTTATTCTAGATCCCTCCTTCTCTCTTTATCCCTTCCTCCTGTTTTGAGGACTCATTTTTTTTCTGGTGTGACTGGTGCTTCTCCTGGGGCACATCAAAGAAAGGAGAGGTTGAGCTCTTTTCTTTCTCTCACCATCTGCCAACTTGATAACACTCTTCTGAGCCTTCCTCTTTTTTTGGGGGGGAGGGTTACATCCAGTGATGCTCAGGGGTTACTCCTGGCTCTGTGCTTAGGAATTATTTCTGGCAGTGTTTGGGAGAACCATATGAGATGTTGGGAATCGAACCTGGGATGGTCGCATGCAAAGCAAACGTGTTCCCTACTGTACTATCACTCCAGTCCCTGAGCCTTCCTCTTGCCCCAATAGAGCTGAATGCCCTTTTGTGGTGCCCATTACTCTCCCCCATACAAATGACAGTTCCAGCTATGTGTTGGACTTTGGGGCATCTTTCCTCCCTAAAACTCCTGGCTCCACTACCTCCATTTCCATCCTGGGCTCTGTGCTGTTCCCTGCACCTTCTGGGGTAGAAGCAATGGAGAAATACTGCCAGGATGATTTCGTTAGGTTAAGAGGTGGAAGGAAGGGGTTAGAATACCAAAAGTTCCATGTGCTGATGCTCTGTCTGTGCAGAGGAAATAAAGACCAGAAGGAAAACTTGGAGGGGGAAATTGGGTCCTGCTTCTCTGTCCACTCAAGCTCTTCTTTGTAAGTTCTCTCATGATACTGGTCATGATACTGGTCACACTACAGACCCTGCACTTCAGATAAACCTCACACGAGAGCTGTTTTCCTAAGAGCTATAAACCTGTCCTGGGTTTTCTTCCAGTTCAGGAATAGTAAATCCCAGGGGAGTTTGATTTAAAAACCATGACAACAGAGACACATGCAAAGGAAAACCATAGAATCTTGCAACCAGAAAGAGATAAAAGTGCAAACACAGGGAAACTGAAGCCTGCCCACAGTCTCAGGGGACTCTGTCCAGAACCTTCTCTTCTACTGTTCAGGCTCTGCTTGAGACCTTCTGTGCTCCTCTGCATCAATTTTCAAGGACAGAATCCCTCTCTGACAAATTCTATCCTAACAGAAAGGTTGGGTTGGGGGTTTGAAAGGGTAACTTTTGAAAAAGCAACAAATGCAGATAAGAGAGAAAATGGGGGGCATAAAAGGGAGGTGGGGATGAAAGTGGGTGGGAAGGAAAGATGGTCAGAGAGTTGGGAGGTTGGAAGGAGGGAAGGAAGGAAGGAAGGAAGGAAGGAAGGAAGGAAGGAAGGAAGATGGGATGGAAGGAAGATGATAGAATGTAGAAAGGAGGGGAGGGAGGGTCCCCAAAGCACAGGGCAAAGGAAAAATCTCCAGTATGTGGGTTCTGACCCCATTAAGCAGGGCCTGGACACACCTTAGCTGGCCAGCCAGCTTCCGGGCTGCACACTCCCAGCATTTTCATGAGTGGACATTGTGGGTTGCCGCACACCCAGGTTTCCATGCTGGGAGCTCACCACAAGTCCACGAGGCTCCTGGACTCACTCTGATCTTCCTTTGGATCGACCCATTGGCCAAGTTTTGGTCTGCCCAAAGGGAGTTTCTCTCATTGGCAGAGCTGGTAATGGCATTCTAGAGATGATGAGATCATGCGAAACCATGACAGTGCCCAATTGTTAACCCTAATTCTCTCTGGAAATGGGCACCCTGAGGAAGGATTCCTTTTAATACTCTTCAATGACTCCAAAGCCTGTTGACTGCAGTTGGGCTACTCAGCCCCACCTGAAGGGTCATGGCTGATACCACTCACTGACTGGACCACAGCCTCTTGGAAGTTTGGAAGGTGCTGTTTTGTTGGCACTGACAACTGCCCAGGCTAGTTGCTGCCAGCCCAGTGCTTTGCCCTCCTGGGTAGACTCTGACCAAAGCTCATATTCACCCAAGGATTGACTGCCTGACATGGGAATCAAACTTCTGCAAGGTTGGCATTGCTGAGAGGTGGGCTCTGTTCCTGACCCTTTTCCATCACCTTTTGCTTCAAAGGACTCGGTGGTGGGATTGGGGCATCGTTAAAAGTGAACT